TGTTGTGAACTCCGTCTTTCATTCATCATATACGGGGGTATTTATATACATACACGGGAGGAGGTATAGTCTAGGTCAATAAGGAAACAAGATATTCTAAATAGAACAAGAAATATATCTGTCATATTTAACACGTCTCTAGTTTTTTATGGTTTTTTTTTTAATTTTTTTGAAAAAAGAAAAAATTTTATATCAAATAAATTTAAAATAAATGAAAAAAATATTTTGAAAGTAGATAAATAAAACAAAATAAAATATTTTAATACTAGAAATATATAATTTTGAATGAATTACCTAGTACATCATATATGTTATTTTGAAGGAATACCATATTTAATATAACAATAATATTACAAATACTTTATCTTTATATTCTATTTATATAATTTCATTTCTTTTGGAATTGATTTTTTTGCTGGGGCATAACTATTTTTTCACTAAGGGTACACTTTAAATTTTCTATAATTTTTTATATTTTTAGACTATTAAAAAAATGGACCAGGGGCATCCGCCCCGATAGTATAATCATAGATATGCCCCTGATCATAAATAAACATAAATATTACTAAAGAAATGATTAAGGCTACCTAAAAGAACTCTTCAAGGCAAAAATCGCACCAACATGTTGTAGGGCCTTGTGGACGTGAGTGTCAAATGGCTTCAAGTAAAAACGTATGTAAGATAATCTAAGAATTGTTGTTCCGAAGTTGACAAATATTCCATCCACTTGATCGTGAACTCCATCGGTTTGAGTGTGACCTTTGTTTTATAGGGGAATGTTCATGACTCCTAGTTCTGAGTTTGTATGAATTGGTCTTCGCCTAAAATAGGCTTTGAACATTTGATAAGAGTGAACTTTAATAATGATATAAATGATTGAAGTTTTAATGATGTGACTTATATACTCCGATATGAATATCATATTGGTTAGTAAAGAACTTCAAGCGTCTTCAAGCTTAGAATGTTGTATTTAGGTGCCTATGAAGGACTTGTGAGATGCGAGTTATGCACTTGGCATAAGAATCTATAAGGATAGATCACAGAAGCTGTTAGGTCTCAGTCAAAGTACATACATAGACAAGGTCCTCGCTAGATTCAGCATGTCTGAGTCGAAACGAGGAAGTTTGCCTATGGTCCAAGGCACGAGTCTTTCCAAGACTCAGGGTGCTTCCACTCCGGAGGAAGTAGAACGCATGAGAAATGTTCCTTATGCGTCGGCCATTGGATCCATCATGTATGCGATGGTATGTACGAGACCTGATGTCGCCTTTGCTCTGAGTGTCACGAGTAGATACCAGTCCAACCCTGG